TATTGTGTGTGTGTGTGTGTGTTAGAGATGCTCTATTTGTATACTATCCACACGTATGTGGGCGGCACCAAACGACATTAGCAATGAAGTGTATGCGGAAAATCTAATGAGTCAGCATTCGCCTGCATTGTTTTGCCTGACTATTTGAAGTTGTACTCACCCCGAGATGTGGTAGGCAGAGAGTATGCGTGTGCGCTTCACAGACACTCTGGACACTCATCAGATGAGTTATCAGATGTGGACATACTATAGTTGAATGGTCCGTTCCAATTTATAGCCCATCTTACGAACGAGGCAGCCAATACACTGTGCCAGTCAGCAGAGGAAGTGCTCTGACGCGTGTGGGTGGTACGGTGTTGCGACAGTGTGTGTGTGCTACTTAATGGGCCGAATGACGTGGCGACTAACACTGACATATGTCATATGCACATACAGACATATCCGCACCAGCCTGTATAGTTACCAGTTGAGGGTTTATTTAGTTCTGAAACCCAAAAACCTTACCCCATCTTGCACATACATTAAAGCAATACGTTAACAATCGCCTGGTGCTGGCGCATGCATGCGCACTCTTATCTACCGGTTAAACGAATACCAATTCGTTTGAACGGCTCACAGATCTACGGCGCAAACAGCACCGACCCCATGGCCACGTACAACTTAACCATACAACAGCCACCGCCAAAGCCACTGGTGGACGTTAATTTCAAGAAGATCTCCAACGTTACGGTAGGTAACGGTTCTTTAGAGTGTGCAGTAGTATGCCAGACCACCTTAAAAGTTCGGTAGTATGTGATGTATAGGATGTTTGCATAGAGTAGGAAGCCTAATTCTGAAACGATGCCCAACCATAAAACCCTAACACCCTGAAACCCTAACACATAAAAACCCTAAACCCCTATCACCATCTACTACCCCTGGCGCAGGACATCGATCCGCTGGAAGTAGCACGACAACTGACTATGGTTGAGTGGGACATCTTCAGAAAGATCAAGCCAAAGGAAACCATGAGCCTCTCGTGGAACATCAAGGAGAAGCAGCACCTCTCACGCAACATCCTCAACATGATCAATCGAGCCAACGAGGTATGTTCTAGGGTTTCAGAGTTGCAGGGCTTTAGGGTTTCAGAGTTGCAGGGTTTTAGGGTTTAAGAGTTGCAGGGTTTTAGGATTTTTTCTAAATGCTGAGAGCTGGTACGCATGCGTGTGACATAGGGCGAGCTATTCGACACCCAGATGACGTATGGCACTGGCGGTCAGCACTGACGAAGACGTCGACCCGTGTCAAATGTAACTTACACTCTGTTTATGGGTTAAATACAGTTGCATAGCTCCAAGTACACCAAGCATACATTTATTCAATATGTAAATACATATATCTATCTATCTATATATTTATATATATATATATTGCTGTGTTTATGAGATGTTGCTTGAGACGTGTAAAGCCACGGGCCACTGCCAGAATATATACCCACAGATTTTACTAAAACCCTAAAACCCTATGTAAGCTTACACTACCTTGCCATTTGCTGCATTCAATATATATCCGAATATAGAGCACTCTGCCACTTGCTGAACCTAATAACCCCGGGACAAATACAGCCCTACATGAGTCCAGCCTGTCCAGATCCCAGGAGTTTTGGACTCTGGCTCGTAGTCGGCATCTAGGATCCTCAGTCAGACGTTTGTAGTTCAGGGTCTTAGTATAGGTATTGTGCGCCTGTATATCTTTCCCGTCACCTGTTCACTCAACCCTTGACTCTAACGTGCCTTGTACCTCATTTGCGGCTGATGGTTTATCTGTAGATGGCCATTTGGGTAGCTACGTTGATCCTGCAGTGCACGTCCACAAAGAAACGAGTCAACACTATCAAATACCTTGTTACACTGGCAGAGGTACGTTGTGTGAGTGACTGTGGCTGATGGTATGGCCGTTGTTGTATGACAATGTGTATACGACAATACTCGTACAAAGAACCGTAACAAAATGATTGAGGCATTGGGTTTTAGGATTTAGAAGCCTTAACCCTAATTTATAAACCCTAAAACCCCAGATTGCCCTGTGGCATTGAACGGAGCTAAGACAACACTTGGCACGTGAGCCGTAAACCCAAACTGAAAACCCCCTTCTAACAAACCTGTTTGTCACAGAGGTTTTAGGGTTTTAGGATTTCTAACTAAAACCGTGAACCCCTGAAAACTAACACAGTGACCGTGTTACCATCACCGTGACTTCCTGGCCATTTAGTACTAACGTCCACATCGTTGTCCTCCGCACACGCCACACAGAAATGTCTCGAACTCAACAACTTCAATTCTGTCTTCACAATTGTGGCGTCGCTGAGCAGTTCGTCTATCACTCGACTCAAGAAGACGTGGGCGGTAGGTACAATGTGCGCATTGATCGATATATTAAGCTCAAGCGTTTAGGGTTTAGGGTATAGGGTTTAGGTTTTGGGGTATTCTGTGTGTAAGTATCTCTACGTAGGGTGTACTGGAGCTTGTGGCGTGTTTACGATCCATTGGAGATACAAAGGCTATGCCAATAAAACAATTAACTATGAATGGCTATTTTTTAAGTATAGTGTATTGTGAGTATACTGATACCCGGTGGCTATTAGCTCTTTGTTCAGAAGACGTGAATAATTAGATCTCATTTACGAAAATATGGCATTTCAATTCCATTGGAAGCCTGTCCTCGAGCCTATTACCCTATACCCTGAAACCCAAAACCCTAAATTGAAACTAAAACTTCTCACTGGTCAAACCCAATGACCACCATCGCCACAGCTGAGACCAGAGTAATCCCAACACACCCTTCTACCTACCACCCCCCCCCACCACACACACCTCTCTCTCTTTCACAGGAGGTTCCGGATATAATACTAGGTGCACTAGACGCCTTGAAGCAGCTGGTGTCAGACGCGAACAACTACAAGGTCTACCGCACACATCTGCAGGGGTTGATAGACACTCCCTGTATTCCCTTCCTGGGTATGTGGCTGTGCATGCTCGTGATGGGTGAACGTATGGAATGTGTGATAGGGCATGCTCTAAGAATCGGGGTTTAGGATTTAGGGGTTTAAAATGCATATATATA